TTATCATGAAACTAAGTTTATTTGCTTGTCTCACTAGTGAACCATGAACTCCGACAAGTTGTGAGCTAGCACAGAATCTTTTTTTTTTTTCTGCTTTTTTTTTTAGCATTCTTTTTATTATTTTTTTTATTTTTTTTCTACAGTTTTATTGATAAACATATAGCAATGAGACAGTTTCAAATCAAATCGGAAGTACAGTTTCAACAAATAATACACTGCATATATTCTTCTTAGTGGTTAATTGCTGTACAAGATGCGGACTTGTGATCCTATTTACAAACACCATGAGAACAAATCATTCCAGTCATTAAGACAATGCAACTATATATCTACCCCAACCACTTTGAATACACAGATACAGAATGGACATTCATCGGTGTACCCCATTTTTCCTAAGTTCCGTTACTGAATATTATAGCTGTGTAAACTCAGCAAAATATTCTAAAAGAGTCCAGTAGCCCATAATAGCATTGGGTCTTCTGTTTAACTGGCAATGTCAGAAATTATTGACCTGAGTCCCCCACAGCTTAACTTAACAGCATGGCTTTATTTCTTATATTTCATCTTCATACTTTTCTACTGGATGGTTAAGACCAAGGTAAAGCAGGACCTGTGCAACAAGAGTTGTAGCTTTTTGGTCTGAGAAGGTCAATGAAATGCCCTCAGGATTTGTCCTGAGATCCTGTACCTCAGATTGTAGAACCTTTATCAGTAGCACAGAATCTTGTGCATAAAAACATGCAATAATTTGTGTGAATAGAACACAGACTCATTTTGTTTTCTTGATTAAGTGTTCGTATTGCTTTGCCACTTGTACATAGGATATAAATAGACTAGTTCATTGAATAGTTGATCCATGTATATGAAATAATTGTTATAGAACAAATTAGCTACTTAAGAGTAAGGTTAACCTCTTATACTTACCAAACCCTCCATATGATCTGGCATTTGAACCTTCAGTCAACAAAATAGAGAACTAATTATTAAGAAATAATTTCGGTTATTTCTTCTGTTTGACAATTATCACCATATTCAGTATTCAATGCAAATCAAGATTTATTTAGTAAATATTTAAGATATATTAGTGGCCAAGGGCTAAGAAACAGTAATCCTATAGTGAAAATATATATAGTTATCAAAAAAAAATAAATCCTGGCCTTTTCAAAGGAAAAGAAATAGGGAAAAGTGAGCTAAAGGTTCTAATTCCCTTTCTGACCAAAAATATGTATTTATGTATTTAAGAACCATTGGGAAATGTTGAAGTATGGATTAGTAAAATTTTATAAGATTACTTCAGTTGCCAAGTCCAAGACTGTTTAAAACATTAATTGAAAAGCTTATTTATTCCAGGTACCAATAATTTTTCACAAACCTCACATTTCATCATGCAAACTCCTGAGTTGATCAACACCCAAAAGAATACAAATGTAATTGTCAGTAGGACCATTTTAAAGACATTCCTCATTTAGCAACCAAGCTACATTTCTGCAAACTTGGTTGTTAAATAATTTGGTCACTAAATGAAGAGTTGTATATAGTGTGTACATTACAATATTCAGAACAAAAAAATGATCAAAGGAAACTCCAATCTGACGACTTTGTATGTCCATAACATGCCACAAACTGCAGCACTGCACTCCACAGTATGATCAGCGGAAGTCACCCTGGTGTACCATAGAAGAAGTCACCATAAGACTGCCCGCTGCTCAGGTTTCTGCATCATAAATCTGAATAGCTCATTATAACTCCAAACAGCACACACTGGTTGTACATCTGAACAGTCATGAAGTATGTAGGTTCTTCAACAAAGAATGTCAGTATTACTTTCATCAAACTTTGAAAATATTAAAAAAATTGGGCCAGGGAGATAGCTCGGTGGTCTAAGTGCCTGCCTGGCAAGTGAACAGACCCAGGTTCAATTCCCAGGACGACATGCCATGGCATCCCTTGCAGAGCCAGCCACCAAAACCAGGTATGGTGGTGCACACCTATAATCCCAGTGCTGGGGAGACTGAGACAAGAGGATCACTGTGAGTCTGAGGTGCATAGCAAGACCATATACCAAATAATTAAATGAATAAATTTTTTTAAAATTAAAAATTTAGTGTAATTTTAAAAAATATGAAAAAAATCAACTTTTAAATAATATATTCATGCATCTATTTAACAAAAACTAACACATCTGAAAGATTTTTTTTTTTTGGATTTTAATAGTATGGTTTATTATAATAGACTTACACATTTTAATCTCAAACATCAAATGTTCACAGCTAATTGGGAAAATCCTTGGATTTCAGAAAAGTATTCTACTTGACAATATGCAATTAGCATAAGTGTGCTTAGCGTGCTTGAGCCTGGTTTGAACCCCAGAACTATAAACACTGGTATCTTGAGGCCATATTCAGAATCCATTTATCCTTCACTTGAGCTATAGGGAAAGTGGTAACTGTTAAAAGCAAGACGGAAACAAAACAAAGACCTTTAATTTCCCAATTTCAATGTTTCCTGTGGATTAAAGAGCTGCTTAAGAGGCATGTAAATCTACCCACCCAACATTTTTCACATAAACCTCACACGCAAAATTTAATATTTGATCCTTGTCCATGTATTTTCAGTCAGATCTGGCATGTACTCTTCAACATCTCCATAAAATGAGACACCTCCTCTTCGTATATTTTCTGCTGAGGTTTAATCTAGTTAATGTGAATGTACTAAGTCTGTGATCTTCATTTGCTTTCTCTCAAAAAGTTAAAGCTATGGATTACTACCCGTTTTATTCCAAGATTGCAAACTTTTGAAGTATGTTTTCTTCCCACTAATAATCTGGTTATAATAAATGAGCAGAAGAAATACTTCTAGTGATCACTGTTGGTCTGTTGCTTGCCAAAATTTTACTATTTGAGGGATAATAAACAGAACAGAAGCCAAAGAAGTATGAACTTTGTTGGAGTCACCACACAAGATGGGCAACAGAGCCGCCAGTGGTCCACAAAGCAGAATGCGTAAGTTTTGTGACTACTGCAATGCGCACCTCACCCATGACTCTCTGTCTGTGAGAAAGACACACTGCAGTGGTAGGAAACATAAAGAGAATGTCAAAGACTACTACCAGAAATGGATGGAAGAGCAAGCTCAGAGCCTGATTGACAAAACAATGTCTGCATTTCAACAAGGAAAGATACCTCCCACTCCATTCTCTGTTCCTCCCTCCCCCAGCAGGGGCTATGATCCCACCTCTACCCACCTCTCCCATGATGCCAATGATGGGGCCCCCTCCTCCCGGGATGAAGCCCGTGGGAACTGCTCCTGAAATGAGGCCATATGCCAGTGATGCCTGGGCCTCCAACCTCTGGCTTGGCCCATGATGGTGACCAGTTGGCCAGGAATGACTCAACCAGACAAATAAAGTGGAGGGGCAGCCTCTCTGTATGAGTTTTATATTATTTATTCTGCTTCACCAGGGGATCATGGTGCTGTGACTCGGCATTTTCTAACAGTGTGAATGACAAGACTTGCTCTCCTTTCCTATCAAATAATAGTTTTGAAGGGAGAAGTATGACAAACAAAACCGCAAAAAGTACAGTTTCATTTGTATTGTGAGATATGAAAATAAACTTGTAAGATCTTTTAGTTAAAAAAAAAATACAAGATAGTTTTTCTCTGGAAAAATTTGCACCTGTTTCTTCAAGAAAAGAAATTAACGGTAATTCCTTTATATTGGTTTATTTCCTATACTCTTATAACAAAAGCTTAACACAGAAGCAGTTGCTTGATGAATAAGTTTATTAGTCTTTATCTGAAAAATATTCATAGAAATTTGGTTTAATGCTCAGCAGCCCACTCCTGAGCTCTGAGGAAGCTTGCCTATTTTTGAGCTACCCAATCTTTTTTCTGGGCAAGGGACATTTTGGGACAGTTCTAAGTTCAAACTGAGTTTCTTTCTAAATTCTCTCTTCAGCTTCTTTTCATAGACTGGATTCTCTCTTATAGCAGTATGAGCTTTCTTATACATCTCCTCCATCACGTCTAGAGTTAGTTACATTGTTCTTTATGTACTGAGAGAACTGTTTCTTGTAAGCATCTTCATCTTCTTTCATTAGGTAATGCATATAATCTGCAACATTCTGACCCATGATGTGCTTCCAATGTACTTCAGCATTGAACTCCTTGCTTTCAGAATCATAACCAGGGAATCATTTGATGCTGTGAGGGATAGATAAGCCCACATCCACAGCACCCTTTAGGGTTCCAAAAGCTTTATTGCCAGTTGTAGTTCTGGCAAGGCCTGCATCCAAATAGCAGGCGAAGGCACCAGGTTGATCATCAATGCCTTCCACATTGTATTCGTCTCCAGTCACCTCCACCTGGCCTTCATAGATCTTATCCATGCCAAACCTCTTGAGAAGCCTGCAGACCAGCAGCAGGCCAAATATGTTACAGCATAATTTGTTAGGCCAACTTTCACACCATATTTTGGTAGTTCATGTGCATGTGCCACACAGACTATCATATCCCCTTCTATACAGGCATAAGCAATCTGACAAATGATATCTGTTAGTTACACAAACTATCATCCTGTATTTAGGTGTGTTGTACTTTTTTTGCCCTGCATTATCAAGTGTTTCCTAGTATACAAATCAGTTGTGCCCTCTCGTTGTCTTCTAAACTTCACCTGGTGTCTCTTAAAGAGATTCTTGACAACTTTAACAAAAACCCACTCTGTGTAATATAGATCCACGTCTGTGGCTCCACATAGTTCTGCAGGCCCAGCAGCACCATAGGGGTAAAAAAATGATTAATTTTAATTAGAAATGTAAATTCAAAATATTCAAAAATTAATCAGAGATTCAGTAATAACAGATTTTGGTAACAAAAACTGGTGACAAGTCATTAGTGTTCAGTTACTAGATGACATGCCATGTATAAAAATAAGCATCTTAACAACACTGCATATGGTAAACACTTTGGAATAAATTACTTTAATCTATTTAATCTTTTAGGTCCCAAAATGGTAGAGGTCCAGAATCAGCAGTTTCAGATCAACTCGAAAGATGGCAAGCCGCTGTTTACTGTAGATGAAAAGGAAGTTGTAGTTGGCACAGATAAGCTTCGAGTAACTGGTAGGTATCAACATTTTCTTTGCATTATTTCTTTTATAGTTTTTATATTCTTCTAGAAAAAGGGCCGGCAAGATAGTTCAACACACTAAGGCTGTGTGCTGTTTAGGCAAGCACAGGGGCCAGGGTTCAATCCCTGGCACCACATGCTGCACCGGCCTCGCCTTCAGGCACACTGAACTGGTGATGGAGTCCAAGCGTGGTAGCACATGCCTGTAATCCCAGCACCAGGGAGGCAGAAAACAGGAGGATCACTATGTGTCCAAGCTGCGTAGTGAGATCCTACACACACACACACACACACACACACACACACACACACGAGATAGTATTTATATTTTTCTAGAGGGATATCTTCCTTGCTTTTCTTTACCAACTGTTTTCTTTTACTACATTGCTACCCTTTATCTCTTTTCAATTGGTGTAATACAAAGAATTATCATATAGTTTTCCATCTTTATAACTCTATCTAATTTCCTGTTACTCCAAGTATATTGATCATGTGTGTCCTCTGTACTTCTACAAAACAAAAATAAAAACAAAACATAACGTGTTAAACTAAAAGTGATAGAGACCTCTCCAATACTTCCTTTGCAGACTAAAATATTGTAGAGGAAAAAATTTTAGAAAAAAATTTAAATTCACTTGCTGAACTTCAGTAAAGACAGTTTTTTTTAAATATATTACAGCATTTGTCTACACTGCTCTGAAAAACAATAGCAATATTACTCACTCATACAATATTACTCCTAAATAAAAACAAAATAATATTTCCTGACCCAGGAAGTAAATGCAACCAT